TCAAGTTAATGCATATGAAAGATACCATGATATTGTGATTATTGATACAACATCCAAAACTAATCAATTTGATATGATATTAATTCTAATCATTGTGGTTGATAATAATTTTAGAAATATAATAGTTGCTGCAGCAATTTTGGAAGATGAAACAGAAGCAACTTTCACATGGATTTTACAAGAATTAAAAAATTCTTGTGATCTTGCACCAACAGTCCTATATTCTGATGCTGATCCAACCTTAATATCAGCCATAAAGACAAATTATCCAGAAACACACCATTTCCATTGTATTTTTCATATAGATTTAAATCTAAAAAAGAATCTTAAAGGGAAATTGCGTAATCAATTTGAACTTTTTCGCGCTAAATTCTTAGAAATGCGCAATTCTTTATGTCATAAAACATTTAAAATAAAATGGAATACACTTATTGATGAATTTTCAGCTTGTGAACAATATCTTACAAGAGCTTTATATCCTTGTAAAAGTAGTTGGGCTTGTTATATATGCTATCAATCAGAATTTCACAGCGGGAATTCAAAGTACACAATGGGTAGAGTCTACTAATATAATAATCAAAGATAGATTAAATAGATCTTTGTGTTTGACTGATGTTGTTAAAGAAATTCAAAAAATATTTGATCAACAATCAAAAAAAGCAATATTAAACGAATGTAAAAATGAAATTCCTACTAGAGGAATACCATCAATTATGGATGAATATTTTCCAGAACTTGATAAAATTCTGCGAGAATATTTAACTCCTCAGATTCTTCAAAAACAACATGATCAAATGGTCCAATCGTTATGTTATGATGTGGAATTAATTGAAGATTGGTTACCGCTCTTAGAAGTAAGTATATTGCTAATGGTTGATAAGAAAATTATTAGTACTTGTTTAAAATGATAAAGACAATTATTAAAAAAAAATACTTCCCTTTTTTCCGTCTTTTTTCATAGATGGTAGATGATTCTTATCAACAAGAAATGGCCAGAGAGGATGATTATGATCAACCTCAATCTCTATTTTCTTCATTAATCAAAAATATACCCTATAATAGTATTCGGCAAGTATGGAAAGCAACTAGACATTGTGGACAAAAATCTGAACCACAACATATCATTCTACTTGATGACGGGTCGCATTTATGTACCTGTCTTTGGCTCATTAATAAAGGAATTGTGTGTAGGCATTTCTTTCGGGTTATGTCCTATTCAATTAATGCACAATTTCATATATCTCTTATTCCTCAACGATGGTATAATTATAACAAGTATAATATCGAACAACAACATAAAGAACCGGTATACCAAATTGAAGAAAATGAATTAGAGAAAGGTCCGCGATTATCATTTCAACATCTTGCAAATTTTAGGCAAACTCCTAATATTGTACAACCTCGAGGTCCTAAACAAAAATATGGGTTTGGTATGGGATATGCCAAAAAAGCACTTGATTTGGCTATTCGGGCTGACAAAGTTGATGAATTTGTCAATCAAATTGAATATTTTATTGAAAGTGTAAAGTCGGAACTATCTGACCAGCAGGAAAATATGCATATTGGTGATCCGTTACGAGTAAGACATAAAGGTCGACAACCTAATAGGTATAAGTCATGTGGTGAACCTCAAAAAAAGAAAGTAAGGCGTATCCAGGATATAACTAATACTACTACTAATAAAAATCGTAAAGAAGACGTTGTAGCAAGCCAAGAGGGAAAAAAGAAAGAAAGGCGTTGTAAAAATTGTAATCAAGTTGGACATTATGCTCCAAGATGTCCGAATATCTAAAAGTGTAAAAAATTTTTTTTACGACATTTAAATGTATTAATCTACTTTAATGACTAATAAAAATATTAGTAATATAATAAATCGCATGATAGTTTAATGATTAATGGTAATACAAGATTGAAAGTCGCGCTATTTTAGATTTTTAATATAAAAAATCACATGATAAGCCAGATACCGGTGAAATCACCTGAGTGATATCACCTCGTGTGATTTTCACCCGGAGTGCAAATTAGCAAGCTTCATAAAATTAAATCTAATAAAAATTATATATAATTTTTTAGTAATATAGAATTTATAGTTTTGCCAATATATATCGATCCCTATGAGGGTAAATAAAAAAAAAAAAAAATATTAAAATAAATATTATAAATATAAAAGTATTTGATTTTTTTAAGCAAGTATTAAAAAATATTTCAGTTATTTAAAAAATTTATTATAAAGAATAAATTTTAATATATAGTATATAGAAGTAATTTTAAAATAATATAATATTATTATTTATAATAAAATTTCCGGTGGATTCTGGTGGATTTAAATTTTTAAATGGTTTTATAGTAAAATATTATATCTACTTTTAATTGAATACTTAAAATAATTTAAATTTTTATCATATATTACGGGTCATGTTATAATACCTTCATGTATATAGTACCAAATTTTAAAATACCCGGATACTATACACGGAAATTTAATTTTAATATTTTGTAAAATACCCGGAATATAAAATTAAATATATCCCCCCCTTAAAACCGGGGAAATAAATATGAATTCTTGTACCTCGTGTATAGTGTCCACCCCGGATATTCCGAAATTTACAAGATACCCGGGGGTACTTTGGCCGTACATTTAACAAACAATTTTTTTTAATTAAAAAAAAATTATAAATGGTATTATAAATGGTATTATTATTACACACGTCAATTTACCTACCTATTTATTATCATCTAATTTGAAGTATCATAATAATAATATTATATAATAGCAGATTATGACCTGTATTTATAAATATTACTATTTGATATTTTGGATTATGGTAAACATATATGCTATTATTTTTACAACATTTTATAATAATAGTTATATATAAAAATCCACAAATTTTTTAATTGCAATTAATTTTCCCAAAATTATATTTAATGGACATACAAATTTTACGTATACAGTAATTAAACCGGCCAAATAATTTGGCAGATGCCTTTAACAGGAGTATGAAGAAAACCATTTATTAAGTCCCTTAAAACAGAAGTTTCTTTTTAAAATTTTAACGATTTTAAAAGATATTCAGTCAAATCATTTAACCTAATTTCAGTAATAAATAAAGGACCGAGTATCATCATCATATCTGTTTATCATAAACTAGACTGGGGAAGGGTATCAAAGTCCGATATCAACAAATATTCTTACAAAGAACCTTAATAATATTTAATAACTATCATGTTTTTAATTGTAATTCAATATATTTTTACTCGATTTCGAAAAACTGAATTTTTTTTTTTTTCTTTTTAAAATTTTTAAAAAAAACTTGAATAAAATAAAATCGTTCTCATTGGATCGACAAATCCGAGTTCGAGAATCTTCCCGTTTTATCTAAGATTATAGTGAATTTTAAATATGTAGAAAATCGATCGTGTTACTTGGAATAAGATTCATGGGAAAAAATAGAACAATATGATGAACCTATTAAAAAAAAAAAAAATGAATTGGAAGATCTTCAAGTAAAAATAATTATATATTATGTAATAAATAATAACTGTAATATCAGTTTAATTAAAACCATTGAGCTTTGACCATTTTTTCCTTCAAAGGAAAAAATATTGTTTAATTACATAATATGATTATGAAATGATTACTCCATACAAAAATGGAATATATTCCGCCGGCATACTGTATTTATCATAAATTAATTATTTTTGGCGGGAAAGAAAAAAAGTTTAATTAAAAAATTTTTTTTTCTTTAATAAATAATGTGAGAATTGTGAAACCATCGGTCTGATTTCCGTTTTAATAAATAGTTTTTTTGATTCACATTTTCGGGAGGGAAACTTTAATAAATTCATTAAAAGGAAAATGCCAAGTAATCTACATTATAGATTATCTCATCATTATAGAAAAATAAAAATAAAAATAAAAATAAAATTATATGATAGAATAGAAACAAAATTTCTTGTGTATTAAAAAAAAAAAAAGATCATTTATTGAATGAATCCTAAGGAAACCAAGTTGATACACAAGTTCGTGATCAACAATTACTTTATAAAGCATGTTAAAAAATTATGGTATTCTTACTATTATAGGTTAAATAAATATGCAAATGTCAATATTATCAATTCAATAATTTTTACATTGTCAATAAAAAGGTCATTAGGAGAAAGAAAGAAAGAATTAAAGAATAGTCAAAAATAAATCATATTGTTTTCAATGAAATAAAATTCATAACATATTTGTGTGTATCATGAGTACTTGAGTACTTATGTATATGATTGTATACAATATATATGGGTAGATGAGTATTTGAGTTACGAAAAAATGTTGAACATGTTGGAATATTTTTAAAAAACAACGGATATTAAAAAAAGTTTTTAAATTAATTACATATTTATTATTATTATTATTATTATTATTTTTTATTATTTTTATTTTTATTATTTTTATTTTTATATAAAATAAGTTGTTGTCCATTGTTTTTTTCTTTTTTTTTTGATTCTTTTTCGTTGTTATATAACATAAACAATTAATAATTTGTTTAGTCATTTAATATTTAATATATAAAATTTTTAGGTAATAACTAACCTTTTTTGGAAATATGGTTCACAAGGTAACTAAGGTAATCTGACGCTAATCATTTAATCCGAGTTTTAGGATTTATAAATGCGGGGAATTATACATAAAGTTAAAAGGTGGCGTCGGGAGTAATTGTATCAAATTTGTTTCATCAAAATGGAATATGCTAGGAAATAATTTTAAGAATTTTTTTTTTTTAAGATTTAATATCGGATGTAGGTTATATAACGAAAATAATAATCTAAAAAAGAAATCATGGTTTTTTTTTTGTAAAATGAGATGATTTTTAACATTTCAAATGAATCCCAAATAAATTCAAGCAAAAATACCATATTAGTAATTATTTAAAAGTTAAAAAAAAAAAAATAAGAAAAAAAAAAAGAAAAAAATTCTTTTCCTTCTTCTTTTAATTTAAATAATTATCTTATTATTATTATATATTATAATAATAATGTCTTATAAACTTCATAGTAAAAATTCATTACCCAATATACGTACTAAAAAATCTATCGTTAATATTAAACCTATTATAACAACTAATAGTACTAATAGTAGTAAATCGTTACCAGCAGAATGTTTACAACATATATTCGCACATTTATCTTATTCTAAATCATCTTTACATTCATGTTTGTTGGTTAATAGATTATGGTGTGTTAACGTGGTAAAAGTTTTATGGTCTCAACCATTTCATTTATTAAATATTTGTCCTTCTTCTACTTCTCCTTTCGGTGTTCAAGGTCAATGTAATAGAACTACAAAAGATACTTATATTCAATGTGCCGCTTTAATAAATGTTTACCTTTCTTTCCTTGACCGTGATGAAAAATCTAATTTATTAAATAATAGAATCAAATTAAATTCTTCTAAAATTAAGGATAAGGATAATTCTAATCAATACTTTTTGGAAAATCCTACTTTTAATTATATCGAATTTTTAAGATATTTGGATTTGGAAGAATTATTCATTACAGTTGGAGCTTGGAAACAATTTACAATATTTAATAATAATAATAATAATACTTTTTCAAATTATTCTAATGGTAAATTTACTCAAAAAGCTTCTTTTAAGAAAACTTTGAAAAAGGCCGTAAATACTCTCACAAAAAAATCTTCTTTAATGTTAAGAAAAAAATCTTCTTTTAGTAATTTATCTTCTTCTTCTTCTTCTACTTCTTCCTCTTTTTCTAATAATTCTCGTGGTAGAATTAGTGTTGATGGTTTTCCTGTTGCCGTTGATAGAGTGGTATCATATTCTTTGGCTAAATTAATTATGAGTAAATGTAAACAATTAAAATCTCTTTCAATTGATACAAGATTATCTTCTTATCCTTGTCATTGTTTAGTACCTATTAATGATACTTCTAATAATACTAATACAAATATTACTGATAATAATCATAATAATTTAAGACAGAATGTTCCCGAAGAACATTTATTAATAGCTACTTATTCTGGTGCAAATAAATGTTTACCTCCTTTAACGGAATTCATTTGTACAACAAGAGGAACAAAATGGAGATTATTTCACGCTTTGGCTGGAACTTGTAAACATTTAAAGAAAATTGTTGTTGATATGGGTGGTTATACTGCTTGGTCAAATAATAATAATAATAATAATAATAACAATAATAATAATGGTAGTATTAATGGTAATGTTAGTAATGCTCCATCTTCAACAAATCAATCTCAACGATCCACTGGTATCATTACTTTATTAACTCTTGTACCTTATACTGAACCACAAATGCAAGAATTAGAATGGGAAGCTAAAAATTTGGCAACTCTTCTTCAATCACAAAATTCTTTGGAATCTTTTACTTTATTACGTGGTGAAATTGGTTTATTAACAATATTAGGAGCTTTAAAATCTCAAGTAAATACTCTTAAACATTTAGAATTTGTTCAATTAAATACAAAATATGCTCAATGGGGTGCTTTTTATAATATATTAGAATATATTAAATTGAAAGAATTAGTATTTAGAGAATGTGAATTAAGTGATGATTTAATGAGACCTTTAATAACTCCTACTAATTCAAAGAGAGATTTATTTAAAAGTATTGAAGTATTGAATTTTGAAAAATCGATCGTTTCAAATGATTCTATTGAAAAATTAATTATTGAAACTGGTCCTAACTTAAAAAAATTGATTTTGGGTAATAATTTATCAAATGTTTCATCAAAATCTTTTACAACAACTGATACAATTTCATTGATTGAAATTGTTGGTCAACATTGTCCAAATTTAACACATTTTACCACTTTTGTTGATACAAATGATGTTCCACAATTAATTACTTTATTTACTTTATGTCCTTTATTACGATCGATCGAATTATCAAGAAATATTTCTCCTCAAGATGAATCATTAGAAGATGCTGTTAATCATACTGCAGATATAACATATTTACTTGAACAAATTACTTCACAAAATTTATTAAGTAATTTAAATCGTTTGATCTTATCTGTTCCTTGGTCTTTTACATCAACTTCATTGGAAAATTATTTACTTTATGTTAGACCACCATTAAATTATTTGGAAGTAAGACAATCTTATTCTTTTAATTCCGATCATTTGGAAATTTTAGTCAAATACGCCAAAGAAAGACAACGATTAAAAAGAGTTTACATTGAAACTTTAAATGAATTATCTGAAGAAGTATTGGCTGAATCTGAAGCAACCTTTGAATTATTTGAATATCAGAGAATAAGGAGCGGTTCACATTATTATATACCAGGTTATGGTTTATTATCCGATAATTGGTAAAAAAAAAAAAAAAAAAAAAATTT